GATGATTATGAGTCTTAGGGATGATCTTCTTGTGGAGAATTTTCCTGGGGTTCTCTGCATTTCCTGAACGTGAATTTTGGCCTGTCTTGCTCAGTTGGGGAAGTTCTCCTGGATGATATCCTGAAGTATGCTTTTCAAGTTGATTCTATTCTCCCTGTCTCTTTCAGGTACCCCAGTCAGTCGTAGATTAGGTCTCTTTACATAATCCATACTTCTTGGAGGTTTTCTCCTTTCATTCTTTTTTTTAATCTATTCTTGTCTGCTTGTCTTATTTCAGAAAGATAGTCTTTAAGCTCTGAGATTCTTTCTCCACTTGGTCTGTTCTCTATTAATACTTGTGATTGCATTGTTAAGTTTTTATAGTGTGTTTTTCAACTCCATCAGGTCAGTTATGTTTCTCTATATACTGGATATTTTGGCTCCTGCCACTTCCTACAGGCACATTCAGGCTGGCAACAGATCAGCTCCTGCATTGTTTTATCATGATTCTTAGCTCCTTTGCATTGAGTTACAACATGCTTCTTTAGCTCAGTGAGGTTCATTTTTATCTACACTCTAAAGCCTACTTCTGTCATTTCAGTCATACCAGCCTCAGCCCAGTTCTGACTCCTTGCTGAGGTGCTGCACTCATTCGGAGGAAAAGGGACACTCTGGCTTTTTGAGTTTTCAGCGTTTTGGTGTTGATTCTTTCTCATCTTTGTGGGCTTATCTACTTTTGATCTTTGGAGTTGCTGACCTTTGGATGGGGTTTTTGTGGGCCTTTTTGCTTTTGTTGTTTGTTTGCTTGTTTATTTGTTTGTTTTTCTTTTAACAGTCTAGCCACTCTTTCATAGGCTGCTGCAGTTTTCTGGGGGTCTGCTCCGGACCCTAGTCACCTTGGTTTTTCCCCTACCTGGAGGTATCACCAGTGAAGCCTGCAAAAAAGCAAAGATGGCAGCCTGCCCCTTCCCTCGGAAGCTCCTCCATCCCAGAGGATAGTGACCTGTTGCTAGCCCAAATGTGCCTGTAGGAAGCGGCTGGAGACCCTGGTCTTTCAGTCAGGAGAAATGGGATCAGGGATCTGCTTAAAGTAGCAGTTTGGCTGCTTTTTGATAGAGCAGATGTGCTGTGTTGGGGATCCCTTCAGCCCCCAGTTGGTTTGGGTTCTATAATACCCTCAGGCTGGACCAGCTGAGATGCCAAACAGCCAAGGTGTTGGCCTGCCCCACCCCCCAGGCGCTTCATCCCAGGGAGAAATTAGAACTCTGTCAGCCATAGAACATGGGCAGGAATGGCCGAGGCCCCTGCTGGGAGGACCAACGCCTTAGGAGAAGTGGATCAGGGTCCTGCTTGAAGAAGTCATGCCTCGACAGAACAGCCATGTTGTGCTGGGAAGCTGCCTCTGCCCCTGTAGACTTGGACTGTCCAAAGCCTGCAGGCTAGAATGACTGAGTCATCCAGATAACCAAGGTAGTGGCCCACCCTTCCTCCCCAGGCACTCCATCCCTGGGAGAGATCAGGGTCCTGCTTAAAGAAGCATTCCAGCCAGGTTCTGGCAAAGGGGCTGTGCTAGGGAGACCCCTCCTCATCTGGACTGTCTGTTCTCTCCAAAGCCCACAGTTTGGAATGGCCAAGTAGACCAAACAGCAAAGATGGCACCCGCCGCTCCCCCTAGGGGTCCAATCTTGTAATAGGCAGGCTCCACCCTGTTGCTGGTGGCTTGCTGGAATTCCAAGCCAGCGGGTTTTCTCTTGTGAGGTTCCATGAAAGTGGGGCCCACAGACTGATGCTGCTCAGCTCCCTAGATTCAGCCCCCTTCCTTGGGGTATGCACAGACTTCCTGATTTGCCTCAGTTGCATACACCTTTATTAGAGATCCTGAGGCCAGAATATGCAAAGCTCCTGGGTCTCTGTGTATGCCTGAGCAGGTGCTCTGCCAAGACTCCATACAGCTCTGTGTGTTGAACCTAAGGCTTTGATGGTGTGGGCTGGCAAAAGGATCCCCTAATCTGCGGGTTGCAAAGATCTGTGGGAAAAGCATGGTTTCCCAGGGTTGCACATTCACTCACCACTTCCCTTGGCTGGAGATGGGGGCTCCCTTGACTCTGTATCACTCCTATGTGGGCTGTCACCCCGCCCTACTTTTCTTTATTCTCCGTGGGTTGTTTCCCTGATCAGTCCCAATGCGAGCACCTGGATATTTCAGTTAAAGGTGCTGTATTCACTCATTCCTTTCGTTCCTCTCTGTGAATGCCACAGACTGCAGCTGCCTCTCATCAGCCATCTTGGCCCCTTTATTGTACTTTTCAACTCCAGAATTTCTATTTGTTTTCTTAAAAATAATTTTAATCTCTTTATCTGGTGAAACATTCTTCTCATACTTTCCTTTAGTTTAGACATAGTTTTCTTTAGTTCTTTGAACATATTTAAAATAGCTGACGTTGTCTAGTAGTACAGGATCTGGCTTTCCAGGGATAGTTTTTATTGGCTGCTTTTTCCCCCTGAGCATAGGCCATATATTCTTGTTTCTTTGCATGTTTCATAATTTTTACAGACATTTCTAAAAACTAGACTTTTAAAAATATAATGTGGCAACTCTGGAAATCAGATTCCCATCCCCAGGGTTTGTTGTTGCTGGTTTGTTTCTGAACTAATTTCTGTAAAATTTGCATTCTTTTTCATATGCGGTTATTGATGTCTCTGCTCAGTTATCTTAGTGGTCAGGTAATGATTACACATAAATTTATCAAATGTCTAGGACCAATAGGTGTCACAGTGTTTGGTCAGGAGGTCTGTGTGAATATTTGAGACACATCTTCAAAATTCAGCCAGAAAGTTTCCAACTCCACCCTAGCCTTCTCTTCCTGCTTGGGCAGAACCTCAATATCAGAAGTGAGAGTGTAGGCCTTCTTAGTTCTTTCCTGAGCGTGCGCACAGGCCTGGGCATGCAGGTAATCTTCTAGATTACCAGGAATATATCAAAGCTTTCCAAAGCTCCCTATGGACATTTCGCTTCCCTGATTTTCTTTTTAAGATTTTTAATTATCTTGTTGTTTGGCCCATCTGCTATCTACCACTTTGGGCAGCTGTATTGTTTTCAACCAAAGCTTCTAGGAAATGACTCTCCACGGTAGGTAGGTACTTTCCAAGTCGGTTCAAATAAAGACATCCTTGCAAGTGGAGCCTCCCAGGAACCACCAGACAGATAAAATAATGACAATTCTCTAGGAATGGGGCTTTGAAGCAGATCTAATCCCACTTAACCCCTCCAGTGTCATCTGGATGCTGATTTTCACTGTACTTGGGGGCTGTTGGTTTTCGAGGCTATTGTTGAGTTGTGGAGGGGAAAATGGGGATAGAGGAAGTTAAAATGTCACAAATATTGCTACCCTTACTGAGACTGAGCCATTTTTCCTTGAATAAACTTTCCTTGTATTGCTGCAAGCCTTTGCTTAATTTCCAATGTTCTGAAAAAGTTGACTCTGACAATTTTTGTCAGTGTTCTCACTGCTTGTATAGAGATGATTTTCCACAATCCTCACTTATCCTTTTCACTGGTATCCCTCCACAGATTCTTTCAATGGCATTTATCTTTTCCTTGACATCAACTCTTATTTTTCCAAACATTGAAAAATCGAAAGCCCCAAATAGTTTATATGTGCTGTGTTTTCAAGAAGTGAGTTTTCTGAGGTAAATGTTTATTCTTATAAAAACCACCAGTAAAACAAGGCCATTAATGGATGTACAAACAGACAAGCCACAGAAAAAGATAAATTGTTTGTGACTGTCTTCAACTTTCATCATTTGTTAATGTCTTTTTTCTTGTGTGTCTTAGTGCAGACCTGGTGAACCTGAAAATTCCTGGTTAGATTTTGACTCTGTGGGTTAGCTCCTCATCTCCCTGGGCCTGAGCAATCCTGGAAGAGAAAGAGACTGAGGTAGAGCTGGTCTTCAGCAGCCCCTTCGCTGTTGGCTGTCAGTGCTGTAATAATCAGCTTGAGCTGCCATCACAGATTGCCACAGACAGGGTGGCTTAAACGACAGAAATTTATTTTCTCACAGTTCTGGAATTCTGAGATCAACTTGCTGGAAGGCTTGGTTTCTCCTGAGGCTCCCCTCTTTTGTTTGTTGGTGGCTTCTTTCTTCCTGTTTCCTCACAAAACCTTTCTTCTGTGTGTGCATGCTCCTGGTGTCTCTTCCTCTTCTTATAAGGACAACAGTTCTATTGGATTATAGCCCCACCCTTATGAACTCATGTAAGTTTTTTTTTTTTTTTTGAGACAGAGTCTCGCTCTGTTGCCAGGCTGGAGTGAAGTGGCACGCTTTCGGCTCACTGCAACCTTCTCCTCCCTGGTTCAAGTGATTCTCCTGCCTCAGCCTCCCTAGTAGCTGGGACTACAGGCGCACACCACCACGCCCAGCTAATTTTTGTATTTTTAGTAGAGACAGGGTTTCACGATGTTGGCCTCAATCTTTTGACCTCGTGATCCACCCACCTCAGTCCCCGAAAGTGCTGGGATTACAGGCGTGAGCTACCACGCCCGGCCTGAATTCAGGTAACGTTAATTACCTCCTTAAAGGCCCGATTTCCAAATACAGTCACTTTGGGGGTTAGAGCTTCGACATATGAATTTGTAGGGAGGGACACAATTTAATTCATAAGAAATGTCTAATACATAGCGAGTAAGTTCTCCATAAACACTCATTGATCATATGCATCCTCTTTGGCTCCTTGACCTTTACATTTCTGCACCATCCTTTTTTCTTTTTTTTCTTTTTTCTTTTTTTTTTGAGATAGAGCCTTGCTCTGTCACCCAGGCTGGCATGCAATGGCGTGATATCCACTCACTGCATCCTCTGCCTCCTGGGTTCAAGCGATTCTCCTGCTTGAGTAGCTGGAATTACAGGTGCACGCCACCATGCCCAGCTAATTTTTGTATTTTTTTGTAGTAGATGGGGTTTCACCATGTTGATCACGCTGGTCTCGAACTCCCGACCTCAGGTGATCCACCCACCTCAGCCTCCCAACGTGCTGGGATTACAGGCGTGAGCCATCACACCCAGCCCATTTCTGCACCATCCTTATCCCGCTACAAGCACCTCCCAAACTAGGCACTATGGCTTCTGGTCTGCTGTGAGAGCAGCATTATGTAGAGTTGCCAGACTAGGAATCCTGACACCAGAGTTCAAATTCCCCCTCTGGTGTCAAAGAGCTGTATTGCCTTGGGCAAATCAGTTAATCCACCAATTTTCTCTAGTTTTTGCATTTTTGAGTGGTTTGGCCCAATTATCTCACTGCTCTCTATTCCCTAGGCTCTTGATTTGTCACCAACCCCTACTACTAAAACATCCTTGCTTCATCCTCTGTGTAGCATATCTAGGGGTCAACTAGCAAAATATATCCTGATAATGCACTGACTAAATAGCTCTCCAGAGTAGTCTTCGTCTCTGCCCAGACATATTTCTGGAAATACTGTCCCTGTTGCTGCTGCTCAGGTAAGAGTTGCATTAGCATTGCTGGGTAGTTAAGCTCAGGAAGGGAACATGCAGTGAGAGAAAGGGCTGGTACGGGAGGTAAGTAGGGGTAGAGTAGAAGCTGGGAACTCATTCAAGTATATTTGCTCAATAAACTTTTGCTAGGAATCTACTTGTTGTGCAAAGTGATGAACCACAGCTCACATCAGGGGCATCTCTGACCATAGGATTTGTACTTGGCATGAACTGTAGTTGTAGAAAATGAAAAATGACCTGAGTTCAAGTTTCGCATTTGTTGTTTATTTCTCTGGGACAACAGGCAAGCCACTTATCTCTTCAAAGTTTTGGTTATTCCATTTTAAAAAGAAGGGATGGATCAAGTGTTTTTATGGTCAATTCTACCACTTTGGCTCTCACCTCCTAGAATTCTGTTTCATTGGGAGTTGGGTGTGAATCCTGCCCAAAGAAAAATCTGTATTTTTGAGCTTGTTTTCTGCATAAGGCTGCTCTGCAAAGAAGATGGAAGGAGAGAAGTGTACAAGTGGCAAACGTTTGGAGGAGGTGGAATTAACCCCACAGTTCACTCAGAAAACTTGGAAAGGAACCCTTAAGGGAACCAAGCTCATTTTAGCAGTATAGAACAAGAAGGTGTCCACTGTGAGTTATTAACCCTAAGGAGATTAGCCAGGTGTTAATAGTAAATGTAGACTTAAGGGACAAAACTATCATTTGCCCAGTGAAATAGACGCTTTAGTCACATGTTTATGTGTTTTGGTGCAAGGACCATGTTTTGTTAACTTCTCTGTTCCTCATACCCAGCAACACACAGTAGAAACTAAATGGACATGTAGAAACTCAGTGGACATAATAGTCCTTGTTCTCCAAATGAAATTTTCTTCATGTCACCTGCTTAAAAAGAGAGACAAAACCAAAACCAAATTTTAATACTGACAGTGTTCCCTAAATTGTTGAAGAACTAGATTTCATTATCTTCAACAAATTCAATAGAAGTTGTCCATACCTTTGGAATTAGCAATTTAAGCCTTTGCATCTCCAGGGCCCAGTGGTACCTCTATGTTCAGGTTAACTGGGTCTCAGTGTCAGCCTTCAAGGGCAGCTTGGATGATACAGGAAAGGTTGTAAATCACAGTGGGTAAGGCTTGGGCTTCAGGCCAGGGTTAGATTTGAGTTCTAACTCTGCCACTCACAACCTTGTAACTTGGGCAAGGTGCTAACCTCTCTAAGTCCAGTTTCCAAGTCTATGAAATGAGGATGATACTATTACCTACCTTATAGAGTCATTGTGAAGAATAATTTTCAAAATGCATTAAACTATACAGTGACTGGCATAAAATTTAAAGGCACAGAAAACGTGAGCTTTTTGAAGAACTGAGAGTTTGAAGAACTCATAGTCATGGGGAGGAAGGAGAGCTTTCTATTTCTTTTATTTTTTTCAGGCTCCATATAGCATAGCTATATTATTATTATTGTGATTATTGTACTCTAAACCTATATATTAACTTTATCAGGAGACTAGGACACATCTGAACCATAGCATGGGTACTTGCTCAACCTGAAATGTCATTAATTGGTTTTCCAGATGTCCCTTCAGAAAAGTCCCATAAACCACTGTCCTGGGCTCACAAAGTTTAGAAGAAATCAAGTTAAAAAAAATGCAGGCCAAGAGATGCAGCAAAAATAAAACAAAATTGAAAGTCATCTCATACATTTGTGTTTATAAATAGATATTCTCTATGAAATAATACTTAAAATCTTTGAGGATATACATGTAACTGCTTCAAAGCCACGACAAGAAATAAAACATACACAAATCCTCAATACTGATATAAATATTTTTAAAGTCTTTCCAAACCGATGAATCTAAACACTACACTTCCTTCTATTTTTCCCACCCTCCCTCCTTCAAATGAACTCTCTTGTTTTCTTTAGGTCCCAAAGGCACCTGAATTCATACACTGGTCATCAGAGACTAAAGTTTCAAGAGCTCTTCCTCCCAAGTACTTAGAAATATTTGAAATAATTGCACCCAGATAGACTGTCTGGAAGTTAGCTTTCCCTCGAGTAATTGGAAACAGTGAGTAGTTGGTATTTTAGAGTTTTTTGAAAGAGACCTTAATCAGGGCAACTGTTGTATTCTTGGAGAAGGAAAACATGAGCTGTGTGGTAGATAAATATTTTGGCCACAGTTGTATCTAAAATAGGAAGATGACACTCCCAGGACTTGATGAAGCTTCTTTGGATCAAATATGCAGCCCATGATCTCACTTTTTTCTTGAGGATTTGGGGTTGAGAAGTGGCTGGATATCCATATTTGTTGAGATGCTAAAGACTGAAGTCACAATGATGAGAATGAATTAGGCATCTGGGGATAATGAGGCATCCCAGCTGCTCTGTGATACTTACAGGGATTTTTGAGAGACCAGAGAGCTTCTCTGAAGTTTATATACCTGTTCAACTTCCTGTGTGTATTTCTTGAAGATCATTTATGCTCCAGATGCAAGATTCTCTCTTATTTTTCTGGAACTCTCGATCTCACCCTCCTTGTAACAGTTAGTGCTCCTGCAAGCATTACTCTAAAGTTTTCCTGAGGCTGGGGGATAAAAGCAAAACAGAATAAAGTTAGAGGCCTGAACAAATGAAATGGTCCTTCTATTTTCTTTCTCTATATCAGCATAAAAATTCCCTGTGTGTCTCTTTCAAATATGTGACTTTTTTAAAAAGCTTCCAAATCCAGACAATAAATGTTGGTTCTCCGTACTTGGACCAAATGCCTAATAGAATGGGTAACTTGAGGGCATAATCACCACAGTGGAATACATTATAACAATTAGAATTAACAACCTGCTACGAATGCAACAATACCAGTGACTCTCATAAGCAGAATGTTGAGTGAAAGAAGCCAGACACAAAGGGTGCACACTATGTGATTTATTTTATGTGAAATATAGAAACAGGAAAACTAATTGGGATAGGGATTTTCCTTTGTGGGAGGAGGTGTCAGTGTGTCTTCTGGGGTGTTTGTGACATTGTTTTTTGTGCTGAGTGCTGGTTACACAGCTGTGTTGTTTGCAAAAATTCCTTAGATTGTACACTCATCATATATATCCTTTCTGTATGTTTCACTTCATTAAAAAAACTTTTTAAAAAATGATTTACGAAAGCAAGTGACCCTCAAGCCATTGGCCAAAACCTTTTCTGATTTCAGTCTGATATCCCTCACTTATCTTTTCGCCCTTTCTGCATTTTATAATTTACCTTGGAAGAAAATCCTTTAAGACTTTTCAAAATTTTCCGTGATGGCATCCCTAGTAAACATAATCAAGCATTTATGATTTTGGGCAGCCTAACGATTTCCAGATTTCTCTATGAGGGATTTTGTACACTGTTTTCTAACATGTTGTTATGAACTTCTCAGGGTGTTCTTGTTGGGGTCATATGAGCTGTCAGCTAAACTATTCCTTTTGTTTGCAAAGATTTCAGGAAACTACATGTTCTTTTATGGCAAGATCACAGTGGTGATTACGAGCTGGCATGGGTTTGTGTATTTTATTGAGTGATTTCTTACAGTCACCTGATGATAGATGGCAACTGGAATAACTCAGATGCAAGGATGGTGGAACACAGCCTACAAAAAGACATTTTTTTTTCTGAGCATTACTAATGTTTCTGATTTATTCATTAATAAAAAGTGCACAGTGTAAGCCTTTTATCCCAATCCAAGTACTCAGTAAAAGATTAACAATAAAGCCTGGATGGCACAGACATGATTTGTTTGGCATGATTTAAACATGAAAACAGCAATTAACACTTAATATACCACATGACTACTTTTGCTTTTAACAAAGTAATCATCATACATGGTAACAAATACGTATGATTTTTCATTTAGAAATATTATAAGAAAACCACACTTAATATTGCAACGACAAAAATTTAACCCATTACCTATAAACTCTCTTCAGTTTTCCTCCTTCAAGTTGCTGTTTTGTGTCTTAAACTGAGCTGGTCATACTTGAGCACATATTTATTTAGAGTGATAGACTCATTTAGAGTGACAGACTTCCAAGGTTCCCTTGAAAAGTGAAGATATTGTTAATTATATAAACACTATCACATCACATACCACAAAGACACTAAAAGTACCCATAAAATAGCTATATCCAGAATTATTTTGGAAAGTCGAAAGCTGTAAAATATGACTTACTGACTATGCGATACTGCTTGGATAGATAACAAGAACTTTTAAGTTGAGAAATGCTAGCAGTTTTCAAAGTGTTCTATTTGTTCTTTATTTTTATATTGATTGGTTGATATTAGAGTTTTCCCAGATATTATTAATAAGCAAGAAAGGAAAGCAGTTAAATTAATTAATTCACCTTTATATTTAACAGAAGAACCAAAATTTGGTTTTAAAAAAGGTGTTTTATGCCAGTAAAGATGTGGAAATCTGCAGGTACCTTAAGCTCATCAGAAGGAATATCTTAAGATAATTTTTAAATGCTTGGGTCCTGAAAATAAATGTCAAATGTAGTGAGATCATAGCTCACTGCAGCCTTGAACTCTTGGGCTCAAGCAATCCTCCTGCCTCAGCCTCCTGAGCAACTAAGACTACAGGCATGTGCCACTACACTGGGATCATTACTTTTTAATTTAATTTTATTTTATAGAAATGGGGGTCTCACTGTCTTGCTAAGCTGGTCTCGAACTCCTGGCCTCAAGTGATCCTCCTGCATAAGCCTCCCAAAGTGCTGGGATAACAGGCTTGAGTCCCTGTGCCAGGCCCTGACTATTATTTTTTAAACACTGGATTTAAAAGTTGTCACTGATTATTCAAAATAATGTAACAAAGAGGCTCAGCGCGGTGACTCATGCCTGTAATCCCAGCACCTTGGGAGACTGAGGTGGATGGATCACCTGAGGGGTCAGGAGTTCGCGACTAGCCTGGCCAACCTGGTGAACCCTGTCTCTACTGAAAATACAAAAACTAGCTGGGTGTGGTGGCTGGCACCTGCAATCCCAGCGATCCTCAGGAGGCTGAGGTAGGATAATTGCTTGAACCTGGAAGGCAGGGGTTGCAGTGAGCCGAGATCACATCACTGCACTCCAGCCTGGGTGACAGAGCGAGAGATTTCCATCACACACACACAAAAAAAAAGTGACAAGGAATAATAAAATAGGTAGGAACTATTCCTAAACGGAAGGCCCTTCAGTTTCAAACGAGTTGACTTTTCAAGGCATCTAGTTAATTAGTTTTCCCCAGCAAAGAATCACTTTCCTCTCTCAAGCAAGCTTGAACCTGACACCACTGCTTTCATCCCATGCAGGATGGTCACTGCAGTTTCTGGAACTCTCAGTCCCCCATCAGTGATGGCCTATTACAAAGATCTTTCTCTTCTCCTAGGAAACACAAAGATCCTCCTTCCTGGTTTGGGCTGAGGTTCTTGAGAGCATAACTGTTACAAGGAAGTGGAGACTTAAAGTGCCCAAATGTGATTTTTCTGCCAGAACAAACTATCGTAGTCAAACCTCCCTTTTTTCAGGAACAGATGAAATAATCTGAGGAAGGTGCATGGCCTGCATGAGTGGGAAGAGTGGTGAGGTGGAGGGGCCTCAAGCCCATGTCTCAGCCAGTCCACAGCTCTCCAGCACAGCAGAGTGATGGAGACAGGGAGAAGTTCTCCTATAGTCAGACCCTTGGCTTTGACAAGGCTACAGTCCCTCCTCCTGGATCCTGACCCAGAGATCTTCTTAGTACTCTGAATTTCCTTGTATTTAAAGCAGACATAAAGAGTTCCACCCTGTAGGACCAGGACTTTTGGGTCAAAAGCTAAACACCCTGCTAAGCCTATTAATTTCTGTGTGATTTCACATACCCAGCACCTTGCTTAGATCTGGTCCTTCACAAAGACCTGAAATTCACTGAGTATTGAAAGTACTTCACAGTTCATCTATGTCTGTCACCTTGAGTATGAAACAGATTTCATGCAAAATATTAATAAAAGAGTTTCTCAGTAGGTCTGCCTCTCCAACAGAGATTGCCAAACACTGGGGCTGTCTCGGTCAGCCAGAGCCAAGGAGTGGCCCTACACTAAACACCATACCTCAGGCACTTCTGCTGAAGGGTCCCCCTTTCGGCATCTCTGCTACATGGATCCTCTTTTCCGACCTCCCTCTCTCCCCAGGGCCCTTTTCCAGCCATAAGAAATGACCTGGGATGTGCTGTTGACCTAGAGTGATATATAGGCCATCCAGTAACTTATGACATGACCTAGTTCAAAATGATAAACTTGTCTAGGAATGCAACTAAAAATATCAAGAGGATAAAATTACTAGGAACCAACTCAAAAGAGGGGACATTCAGAAGCAGATAAAGCTGGGACCATGCCAGGTCCATGTTCCTGGCATCAAAAGTTACAGGGAAGTGAAACCCTAAGCAAGCATCAGCGAAGAGGCACAAATAAGACTGAGCAGAGGGAAAGAACACGGCAAAAGGTAGAAGGGCAGGAAAAGAATAGCTGAGAATGTTTTCTGAATTTTAGTTTCTTTTCCTGGGTTTCTGTGCACTCCTCATAATAAACCTCCATACTTTTGGAGTCACTGTGATCTGTGTGTTGCACCCAAAAGAGCAAAACCAGAACAGTTAGACGCATGCGGTCTTCCCTTGCTTCCACAGAGGGATTCAAGCCCGTGGAGGGAGAATCTCAGACGACTGGAGTTGTGGATGGTCCATGCTAATGGGGTTCCCTAACAGATCAATAATACTACAAACATAGCAGGCCTCAGGTCTCTAAACTACCGGACTGAAGTAATGACTCACTCCCCTCATTTCCGACTCTGGCCCACAGTTTGTAGAAGAGGGCTTTCCTTTCTTGCTGTGGGCTGTCGAGGTCATTGACACCTGGCAGCGATCTTATTTCTCCCTGACGCTGTTTTTCTCCCTGGCATTTGTAAGAATGAAGTAGAGGGGAATTCCTCAAGAAGGCATTTTAGATTTCTGGATAGTAGGAGAAGGAAACTAGAAAAGGCTCAACACCCCTACAAATTATTCTTTGATTTTTGCATGGCTAGCCATTGAGCATTTAACAACAACAACAACAACAACAACAACAACAACAACAACAAAGGGCTTACACAGCAGCTGTGACTTCAGGAGAGTTCACCTCACGTGGTACTGACCGATAGACTGGCTACCAGGGCTGAGTGTAAATTCTGTTCCTGTATGGGAGGAGGCAGAGGTGCCCGATCCAGGCTTGCTGGAGGGCAGCACTGTTGTGGCCAGAACCACCACCAGAACGTCTCCCAGTGCTCTTTCCATCTATCTTCAAAGCAGGATTTCACTACACAATTGAATGCTTTTCACTCTGTTGCCCAGGCTGGAATGCAGTGATGCTATCTTGGTTCACTGCAATCTCTGGCTCCCAGGCTAAAACAATTTTCCTGTCTCAGCCTCCCGAGTAGCTGGGACTTCAGGCATGTGCCACCAATCCTGGCTAAGTTTTGAATTTTTTGTAGAGATGGGTTTCGCCACGTTGACCAGGCTGGTCTTGAACCCCCTGGGCTCAAGCAATTCGCCTGCCTTGGTCTCCCCAAGTGCTGGGATTATAGGCGTGAACCACCCGCACCCGGTCTGAACAATTTATGGTTGTTGTTTTTTAATGAGTTCACGGAAAGTTGCTTTCTTCTGTTCGTCAATCTTAAAAAGAGTTCTCCTCTTACTGGAACCCTGTGCTGTGAGATGAATTTGAAAGGAGCAGACTCATGTGACTAGCTCTGCTTCTTTCATTGTTTTCCACCTTGAAAAGCATGTGAAGCTGCTTAGTGAGGAAATAATATTTTCTTAAAATGTCATAGCTCATGCCTTTCCATCTTTTAATGGAAAATCTGACCATCAGGGCCTCACTGCTCAGTGCTTTCCACCTGCAAAAGCAATTGGAATCTAGGTTGTAGGCTGAAGAAATAAGCAGTATGTCCCCTTCGGAGAGTGCGGGAGCCCATCCGTCTTTGGGAGGCCAGAGCAGCCAGTTCACTGGGAACAGTTCAGAAATTCTGACCTCCCAGGGCACTGCAATGCCATTGTAATTTAGGGTGCTCTGACTCACCTCTTTCACCTTCAGTTCTGAGAGGCTCGGGAGCCTAGTTCCCATCATGGTGTCAGCACAATGGCTCGGGCTTAGAAAGACTTAAAAGGAGAAAAGAGGTCACAGCTCTCCCTGCCAAGCATAAAACAGAGGCCCATTTGTGCAGCCCCTCTTTGGTCGTCCTGCCTCTGTTCTGAATAATCGGCTTCATGAAAAGAGTGGGCAGGAGCCCCAGATTGTAGCTCCCATCCACCCCGCCCCCAGCCCCACGTCTCATAGCTCTTCTTTCATCTCGGCAAAAATTACCATCCAAGAAAGGTCTCCAATTTACCTCCTTTAGAATAAAATCCCCTTCAGGAAAAACGACCCAAATACTCTTCAGAAACAAGAGCTCTGATTGGCTTGGTAGCATTTCCTCCCTGATGGGAAGGGGCAGTCCTGGGCCTGTCCATCCCTCAGATGAATGAATACTGTCGCTAAGCAACCATCTCTAACCCCAGTCTAGAGGTAGCAAGAAGAGAAAGAATGAGGCCACTTATTTCCCAGTCTCCGCTCATTACTGGCTCATGGCTTTGTCTGGAAAGACTATGAGAACAGCAAAGTGTCCTCAGGCTCACACTGACTGTAATGATATATTTCAAGAAAGAGTGGCAGAGAGCAACAGTGACCTTAAAGCAGGTTGAAGTCATTTCCTACAGTTCTAGTGAGTTGCCCAAGACAGCAAATTGGTAGCAGGGACCCAGTATATACAGTGGAGTTGTATATATGCTCTTTCATTTGAGTCTCACAAGCACCCTGGGAAGTGTCAGCTGTTTTACGTTTGAGAGACTGAAGTTTGAAGACAGGTGAAGTGACTGGGCCAAGATCACACAGAAAATGAGCAGCTGAGTCAGGCCTGGGTTCTGGGTCTGTTTAATTTAAAGCACTTGCCCTTTCCTCCACACGCACTGCAGCCTCCAGACTTCTGGGAAGGAAGTGAGGGAGCCAGACAGGCAGGTGCTGGTGTTTATTAACAACTAAATATTTGCCAATTTAAAAATCCTATTGAGTTGCTCACCAGCTGATCATGATTGGATTTCTTTCTGGCCACATCAGTTGACTAAATGTTTATCCACACCGTTATGCTCATCGAGTATTTCGGGAACATGCCGAGGCTTCCTGGATTCAGGAAAGGGGATGGAGTCAAGTCTTCATGGTGGACACCACTGTGTCTGCAGTGCAGCCAGTGTATGGCGGGGTGAGGAATGAATTGTGTTCTTTTACTTGCCCCTCAGGATGCCACTCTTCGCCCACCAGGCGACGGTAGTCCATATGCACCTTAGCTCAAATTTACTTCCGCCTTTTCCTGGCTGGAAAGCTCTTCTCATCCTCTAAGATGCTTCATGAGTCTTCCCAGCAGCCGATTGCTCCTCCTTCTCTAGGGCACTTCGCCTGGCAGGTGGGCCCTGCACTGCACCACCTGAATCCTCCTTCATTGCAGAACTTGTTGCCCCGTTGCTAGAAGTGCTGTTAGTAGATGGCCTTTGGCTGTCAGCTCCTCAAGGATGCCCCCAGCTGCCCACGTCAGGCTCCTGTCTGGTGGCCCACGTCCAGTGATGAATCAGTGTAGCATGCGAAGGCTATCTGTGTGTAACCCAGCACAATCCTGAAGGGACGGAGCTCCTGTGGGGTCGCCTTCATCAAGCCTGTATCACAGCTTAGCATTTCTACCCACCCTGCTTCCTCCTCCTTCCTTCCACAGATGTTGACCCCAAGGGCAGGCTGGATGCCCAACTCTGTCTCAGAGACAGTTTTCTGGGGAGCCCAGTGTGCTACATTCTCCTGCAGACCTTCTCTGTACACAGCCATCTGGCCCATTAGATTGTGAGCAACTTAGTGCAGGGGTCCGGTCCGTGGCCCGTTAGGAACTGGGACACACAGCAGGCAGTGAGTGGCAGGCAAGACAGCAAGCATTACCACCTGAGCTCCGCCTGCTGTCAAATCAACAGTGACAGTAGATTTTCACAGGAGCAAACCCTACTGTGAACTGCGCATGCGGGGGATCTGGGTTGCCTGCTCCTTGTGAGAATCTAACTCACGCGTAATGATCTGAGGTGGAACAGTTTTCATCCCAAAACATCCCCCCATCCCACCTTGCTATCCGTGAAAAAATTTGGAAAATTATCTTTCACAAAACCCGTCCCTGGTGCCAAAAAGTTTGGGGACCACTGCCTTAGAGGCAAAAGCTGTGCCTTATTTATTTCCAGACCTACAGTGCCTAACCCAGCTTGGCCAGCAGGTGCTCGGTAGATGTCTGTTGAATGAATAAACGTAGTCACTTAAAATGATGAGAGAGACTGAAAGGCTGATAGTTGTGGATGGACATCTCAGTTAGAGTCTTTTCTCTACTTTAAAAATACTGCCTTCCCAGAAGAGTATGCAAGCAACTCTATTATCTAAACTGGGAGGGGCGTGGACTCATTCCTCCTTTCCTAAACTCTGTCCTGCTGGACTAAAAACTGGGCTTGGGGTGGGGTCCTTCAGGATTATTGAAATACAGTGAGGAGCCAGGTCCAGGAGCTGTGTCTGCAGTGCAGTCAATGTATGGCCAGAGGCTGGTGATTGCCGCATAGCAGCCCTGTGCCCTGAAGCTCCTCCCGTGGGTAGATTGTTTTCTCCCAGTTTATTTTTTATTTTAACCTAACATTTAGAAGAATCTCTGTTTCAGGTGAGATAAACGTGTTGCTCACACCTGTCCAGATGCCCTGTCCAAATGAGCCCCAGGAGCCATCTGATGGTGGGAGTCATAGTGGCAGCCCAGATGGAAGTGTTTCATGTATAACAGAGACAACGGGACAGCTACAAGTCAAGGCATTTGGGAAGAACAGTGATTCCTTTTATGATCCTTCCCTGAATGCAATTCAGAGTCATAGGGTTCCTCTCTCCAAGGAAAGGATGGATTTATCCCCGACAGAGAAAGAAGGAATATGCAGTCCTCCAAGGGGGGAAACTCTGGTAAGTGCTACAGGAGGGACAGTGAACACTTTGAAGTTCCCAGGTCATAACCTCGAATGCTCTCAGGACTATTATGTCAGTGACTTCAAGATTATTGGCCCAGGTCCGCTTCTTTTTTCTTTCTTTGAGACAGACTCTCGCTGTGTCGCCCAGGCTGGAGTGCAGTGGTGCAATCTCGGCTCACTGCAACCTCTGGCTTCTGGGTTCAAGCGATTATCCTGCCTCAGCCTCCGAATAGCTGGGATTACTGGTGAGTGCCACGTTGCCTGGCTAATGTTTTACATTTTGGGTAGAGATGGGGTTTCACCATGTTGGCCAGGCTGGTCTCAAACTCCTGATCTCAAGTGATCCACGCGCCTCTGCCTCCCAAAGTGCTGGGATTACAGGTGTGAGCCACCGCGCCCAGGTCTGCTTCTGAAGGAGCCTAGGTATAGCCACTAGCAGCTATAGAGGCTCCTTGCCGGACCTCCTTGTGTCTTGGAACAAACTTGGCCCAAAGGAAAAATGGACAAAAGAGGGTCCTCTCCCCTTACAGAGGATCTACCTCCTCTCCTGACTTGGGCAGGAGCATTCCTCCTGTCACCTCAAACTCAAAGTGGCTCCCTCTGATGTGACACTGGAGGCTCTCCTGATTTACTGCCATGCAGCTGTGTTTGTGCAAGAATCCACATATAAACAAGAGTTGCCGACATGTTGCACAAGCAGAGTCTTAAAGTCATCAACTCATGTCTTTATTTGCAGTCTCCCACCGTGCCTTCATGTTCCTTAATGTCGTGTTTACTATTGGTGATCTCTCCCTGCTGTTGGATGAGAACTCCAAGCAGGCCCCAAGATGTGTTGCTTACTCTTAGGTAAGGGACAATTCCAGGGCTTTTTAAAGCAGCAAATACTGACTTAATTCAGCAATTACAAAGTCCAGCCTAAGAGAGCAATCAAAACTCGGATCCCGATAAGATGTCAAACCCTGCAGAGGGCCTGCAGAGGGCTGGGAGCTGACTGTGGAGGACTGGGTGGTGGTCTGATTGGCTTCTCCCAAGTGGGGCTGGCCTGTGGGGAGGGAAGAGGGGAAAAGTCTCACTTCAACAGGGATTGTCATTAGCTGGCCTCACCTTTTAGTGCCTCTGGTCCTCCATCTCTTGGGGCACTTTCATGAGCAATTCTCAGGTTCCCCACCAGGGGAACAGAACTGCCCTCGGCAGTGCTGTTGGACCCAAGTCAGGGCATCTCTGTTTTGAGGGGTTGCTGGCATTCCTTCTTTAGTCCCAAGCATTTACCTCTAACTTCTTGCTGTGAGGATCTCTCAGTCACCGCAGGAGACCCTTAGGACAACTTCTATGATGACCCAAGCCAGGGTATCTTTCCTTATAGTCCATCGTTACAACACTGCACAGCCCTCACCCCAACAAACCAGGGGTGCTGGCCGGCCCTGCCAAAACAGCAATCTGCTGACCCAGCTTCCAAAGCGGGAGGTCGGTCCGGCTCTCATCCTGTGGGATCCTAGGTGGGAGTCAGGCCTTTCTCCCCAATTATAGGGGTCATATATGAAGCTCTTTGGGGGCCAAGGAAGCAGGCAATCTTCCGTGCCTCAGGGAATAGAGGGGATGGGCCCATAGCACAGCATTCTCCAGATAAATCCTCTTCATAGAATCCTCCCTCCTTGCCACCCTCTTTGGCATTTTTTTTTTTTTTTTTTGAGACAGAGTTACTTCATCACGCAGGCTGGGAGTGGCAGTGGTGTGAGCTCAGCTCACCTGCAACCTCTGCCTCCTGGGTTCAAGTGATTCTTGTGCCTCAGCCTTCCCAAGTCAGTAGTTGGGATACTGGCACATGTGACAATGCCAGCTAATTTTTGGTTTTCTAGTAGGAGCTAGACTTTGCCATGTTGCCCAGCTGGTCGTCGAACTCCTGACCTCAAGTGATCCCACCACTGGGCCACCCAAATTGCTGGGATTACAGGTGTGGAGCCACCACACCTGGCGCTCTTGGCCCTTTTTATTCTCTGAGTGGTGAAGAGATTGAACCAGTTATGGAGCAAGTTCTCTGAATTTTCCTTTGGAAGCAAACATGGAGATTGGACTCCTTAGTCTGGATTATAAACATACTGTGGTTTGTGCCTCATCAAAGCTTCCAATTTAATATCCTGTTACATAAACTTTCCCAAATGCTGATTCTTTATTTTTTTTCCAGTTTTAAAAGGAAGATTTATTTAGACAAGTTTCACCTTAGTACAAATACATCTAAATGAAA